ACTTGAAAATTTTCGAATATGTAGATTAAATGTGTATATATGTATATATATAACTTTGAATAGATACAAACATAGATATTGCGCATTTACTCGATAATTTCAGTGATGATCACATACCGTTCCTACTTTTCTCTCTCTCTCTCTCTCTCTCTCTTTATTTCTGTGGCTATTAAACAAGCAAGTTTGTAATTCGATCATGATTTCATTTAAAGTTTATGACGTTATTATTATGTCAGTTATGTGTATTATTACTGTGTATGCACCTAATGCATTTCATTATTTTCTATGTTGATGATTTCATTTTGTTTCTATTTTTTTTTTCAGCATTGTGTTGTTGTTGGTTGTTGTTTTGAGTTTGTAGTACATACACCTATATTCAGTTGGTTTTTTCATTGTACACATGCATAGAATTTTTATTTATGATTATATTTTTTTTAGATTGGTTTTACATGTTTCTTTCTTGTTTTGTTTTATTTGCATATTTGTTTTGATTTATATTTTAATTTTTTTTTTGTTATTAAAAAAATAATTAAACAATAATATGTTTTTGATTAACAACGATTTTCCTTTGTAACAGAGTTTAGAGTTAGTTTGGTGGGTTGTTGTTGTAGTTGTTGTTTTGAGTTTGTAGTACACGCGCCTATATTCAGTTTGTTCTACATTTGTATAGCATATAATTTTAATTTATTTACGATTGTATATTTTATTTTTGTAAATATTTTATAGGTTAATTATTTTATTTGCAAATTGGTTTTGTATTATATTTGATTTTTTCATTGATAAAAATAATATTTTGTCAATTGATGTTGTTGGTTGTGTTGTTGTTTTGAGTTTGTATTACACGCGCCTATATTCAGTTTGTTTTACATATGCAGCATATAATTTCAATTTATTTATGATTGTACATTTATTTTTTTAAATATTTTATAGGTTAATTATTTTATTTGTAAATTTGTTTTCATTTATATTTTAATTTTTAATTTAAAAAAAAAAAAATAGTAAAACAATAATATGTTTTTGATTAACACCGATATTCTCCTTTGTAACAGAGTTTTCGAAGTTACTTTGTGTTGATACTGTACTTGTAGTTATTGTTTTGAGTTTGTAGTACACGCGCCTATATTCAATTTGTTTTGCATTTGTATAGCATATAATTTCAATTTATTTATGATTGTACATTATTTTTTAAACACTTTATAGGTTTTTTATTTCATTTGCAAATTTGAATTGCAATTGAACATGTTATTTTTCAATTGATAAAAATAGCAAAAGAAAAAAAATGTTTTTGATTAACACACCGATATTATTCTCCTTTCCAACAGAGTTTTTAGAGTCACTTTTCTTGTTCAATATTTGTTCTATTTTTTTTTTTTT